AAGCTTAAGGAGTGGACGTAGGCCGAGTTAAAGTCGAACCACTATAAATTTGTTTGCCACTCTCTCCCTTATCTCTTTATTTTATTTAAATTACCATAGCTATATTTCACATTTTCACTGTGTTAAAATCATTAACTGACATAGTTTCCTACTACTGCTATAGCTATCTAATATTCATGTGTTAATCATTTGATTTACCATGCATGTTAGTTATACTTCATTATTATTTTGCTTGATCATTTACTGCTAAGTTCATCATTGTGCTTGTTAATAATTTGTTGTACTAGTAGTTAATTTTATTGGGGTATTATTACTTTTAATTTGTAGAAACCTAATTCACCCCTCCTCTTAGGTTGCTTTTTAGATAACACTTAACATATTCAAGAATGAAAGGGATAAGTTAAAGAAGGCCATGAAGGGTCGTAGAATTTGCTTTACTACAGACACTTTGACATTTATTCAGAATTTGTGTTACATGTGTTTGACTGCTCATTTCATTGATGATAACTGGAAACTTCAAAAAAGAATCATAAATTTTCAAGAAGTTGAGGATTACAAAGGAGAAACATTGGGTAAAAAAATTGAGTCGTGTTTGATCGAGTGGAACATTAATAGCATATTCACCTTGACAGTTGATAATACTAGTTCTAATAATCTTACCATTCAATATTTGAAAACGATAACCAAAGATTGGAAGGGGACTATTTTGCAACATGAGTTTATTCATATGCGTTGTTATGCACATATTCTTAATCTCGTTGTGAGTGATGGGTTGAAAGAAATGGACGATTCTATTGCCAACATTAGACTTGCTTTGAGATATGTGAGGTCTTCTCCTCATAGGCATGATGTTTTTAAGAAGTGTGCGGCCACACTCAAACTTGATTCAAAAGCTCTTGTATGCCTAGATGTACCAACTAGGTGAAGCTCTAATTATTTGATGTTAGAGGCCGCTGAAAAGTATGAGAAGGCTTTTAACCGATTGAAGTTTGTAGATTCTAACTTTGAACTTTATTTCAAGGATGTTGATGGTGGCATAATGAGAAGTCCGAATGAGTTGGATTGGAAAAAATGTAAATTTTTTTTGAGGTCTCTAAAATTAATTTATGTTGCAACTAAGAAATTTTCAGAGTCTCTCTTTGTTACTTCCAATGTTTTTTACAAGAAAATGTTTGTTATTGAAAACAAAATTAACCAATTAATTTTGGAGGAGGATGATACTTTGAGCACAATGGCAAAGACGATGATGATGATGATGAGCACAATAGCAAAATTAACCATTATGTCACACTTTATCCTTCAAATGAGAAACTTCCAAGTGTGAGTGAAGTTGTGAATATGGTGGAAGATGATGATGATGATGATCCCTATTCTTTAGTTGACTCCCAATTTAATTCCTATTTGGAGGGGCGATGCACTAGTGGATCTAAGTCGGAATTGAAAAAATATTTATCCGAGGTTGAACATTTTGCAAATAATCAAACATTTGAGATTTTGGATTATTGGAAGGTGAATGCAACCAAATATAGGGTGTTGTCACAACTTGCAAGGGATGTGTTGGCCATGCCTATTTCTACCGTTGCATCGGAGTCGATTTTTAGTATGGAATGGCGTATTCTTGACCCATTTCGTAGTTCACTCTCGCCTTCTATGGTTGAAGCTTTTGTATATACTCAAAATTGGCTTCGAAGCAACCTTCCAATTTCTCTTTGAAATGCGATGGATAATGTGGAGGAATTTGAACAATATGACTCAGATAATATGAGAATTTATTTATCTTCATTTTTATTTGTATTGTTCATTTTCTAATGTAAGTGTTATTAATTTTCTCTTGTTGACTCCTAATTAGGTACTTTGGAGCCAAATTCCTCTTCAAGTTTGACCTATAATGTTGATGCTATAATTGATCTCTAATATCCATTTGCTCATTGATAATTTTTTCATATACTCAATACATTTTCTTACTATATTGAGATGCAATATATAGACATTTGTTTATCTTTTCATTACTTTATTCTTTTACACTTTTTGTCTCAAAGGAATTATGAAGCTTGAAGATTAAAGTTTATATTTTTTCAATTTGTTTTTGTGTAGGGTTCATCAACCAAATGCATGGAATTGGAATTTGAATTTGTAAAAGTTGGATTGGATGTGATTCATGATGAAGTTTGATATATTAGAAATGTTTTTATTTTATTTCATGGGTTTGAATTGAATGAAGTTTGACAACAATTTTTTTTTTTAATTGCATTTTGGTTTTGGATGAATGTAAGTTAATGAATTTTTTTTTTTTTTTTGCATTTTGGATGAATGTAAGTTAATGAAGAATTACTTCTTTTTTTTTTTTTTTGTGTTTGGGTTAGGAATGATGAATGTAGGATTTTCAATGTAGGATTTTTTTATTTGGGTTATAAATAATGAATGCAGGATGAATGCAAGTTAATGATGAATGTAGATTTTGAATGATTTGTTTAGGTTACGAATTGATTTTGTTTTGTTTTTTATTTTATAAGTTTTAATTCATTAATTATTAATGTTGGAGCATTTTAGAAAAATTGGAGGAAAAAAGTTAAAAATAAATATTGACAAAATGGGGAAAAAAAAAGGTTTAAAAATAATTTTTTGAAAAAAAGTCCAATCTGCAAACCACCCGCACATTCGCGAACCCTATCGGCACAAACCGCAAACTACATTGCGAGCGGTTATGGGTTGACTTTTTTCCAAACCTCATAGATGTGGACGGGTCCAAACCGAACCGCGGACACCCCTAGATGGGATACATGGAGAAATTATATTTTCACACACCTACTTATTTTAGTATACACATTTAATGAAATATTATTTCAATAACAATTAAACTAAAATGACCATAATAGACCCATATAATATTATATCAAAATATTCTTTGTACACATTTTAAAAAAAAAAAATTCTCAATGCACATTTTGAGTGAAAAAAAACTAGACTCTAGATTCGAATGCATCTTCTTCTTCTTCTATTGATCCGAATAGTGGTTTCTGCTCAAAGACCAAAACATACCACAGTATCAGATCCCACTCTCTCCTCTCTCTCGAAACCACCCATCTTTTCACCACCGACTTCGTCTTCTCTCTCCTCCTCACTAAAAACCACTGCTGCACTTATCAACGCCGCCATATGCTGTTGTATTCTCTATCCCTCACTTCTCCACCGTACGATTATTCTTGATTTGCCGGAGTTCGAGACCATAATGACAAATCGAACTCGAAAATTTCACCGAATTAGCGTTTCTTAGTCCGATACGACGGCAATTCTCAACTCTTGGGGAACTACCGGCAAATCTAAATGTGTGGAGTTGAGTCACTAGAACTTCATATCGAATATGCCAAAAAATAAATTGTCCAACTATGCCGAGCTCTTTCATTTACCTCAAGGAGATGAAATTTACTATTCTTGAAATCTAGATTGATGACAATTCTGTGTATTTTACTGCAATTTTTACCACCAATTGAAGTTTCCATGGATGAAGAAGAGTGATGCTCTTGCTTATCTCTATGCCCATGATTAATGACCTGATTGATTTCTGTTGTGTTTGAGGACGGTGGCGATGAGATCTTCAATGGAATGGAAGACTGTGGTCTTTAATGTATGTCTGCAACTGCTGCATGGGTCTACAATTTTCAACAAATCTGAAACCACAACAGTGGTCTACTCAACAAGTGTGTGGAATGAGGGGTTTGTGTGTGTACAATACTATGAGTAAAGAGTAAAATTGAACATTTATTGTGTAGATTGAAAAAAATAATTTATAATCAAATAAATAAGTAGGCATACTGAGAAATCATATGCACTGAGCTATGTAATTGTGTGAAAATAGAATTTCTCCAAATGCGTTGCTTTTTGTTTACTTGTAAAAACTTATGCGTGTATGACATTTGTGTAACTTTGAAATTTTGTATTTATCTCAAATCACAAATTTTAATATATGATATCTAATTTCCGTAAAGGCTAATTGTGATGTGACTCCTTGTTCATTCAAATATTGACAATTTAATTTAATTTTATGTTTGTTAGATATAATTATTTTAAAGTATTTGTTGATCAACTTAAGCAAGTTGTGACATATTTTCAAATTTGACGTTAATCAATAAATAATTGAGTCCAATAAGGATCATGTTCAATTCAATTGTATCATTTTTTTTTTCATAAGAACAAATTTTGAAAACTCAAAAAATAACTTCAAAAAAAATTTATTAAAAAACAACACATGCGTAACAATATTTTAAAAATTAATTTACAAAACGAATATGTGTTTTTTATTAGTTTTTTTTTAAAGTAATAAATATTTTTTAAAAAATAACTATTATTTACGAAAATAGTGTGACAATTTATATGTCACTTATGTATTAATACACCACATAGAAAATAAGATTTAGAGCAATATTAAGAACTTTAAAAACATTATCAAAAATTTATATACAATCGTATATAGATGTGATATCCATACATATTGTGAAAAAAATTTAATAATTTTTTAAAGATTTCTAACATTTCTGTTAGATTTATTACACAAAAAACATCTCTAACCCCTTACATTTTCTTTGATCAAATTTAAAATTAATGAAAAATTGCTTCAAAATCATTTATAATTCTTTTAGCAATTGTTTGTCAATTAAAAAAGAGAGTCAATTTTTTTTCTCAAATTGAGAACTTATCAAATCATTAATTAAATTTAAATTTGATAAATATTTAAAAAGATAAAACAGTAGAAATGATTAATCAAAATTGATAAAAAATTGAAATAATAAGAATTTTTTTTTAAAAAAATTGATAAGAATTTAATAAAAAGAAATTAGAAATAGTTCATATTAAATCAAATATTTTACTCAAATTTAGATGAGAAAATTTGGAAAGAGTTGGAGATGGTATAATAATACCCAAAAAAAAAAAAAAAAAAAAAAAAAAAAAAAAAAAGATTATGCAAAGCTTGGCTCATAACAGGCCAAGTTCAATGTATCTACTTTCATTCACTATTCTAAAGAATCTAATCCAGTCCGGCCCTCCTTTCAAGCCCTAGCTTCCTTTCTCACCGTCAAAACTCCAACGTCATTTTTAAGCCGAAGTTCACCATCACCACCGTCGCCGCCACAAAGCTTAGCCGACAATGGCGTCGGAAGGGTTCCGGCCACTGGACGAGAAGTCTTTGGTGGAGTACATAAAGGCCACTCCATCTCTGTCGTCTAAGCTCGGCAACGAACTCGATGACCTCCAAATCAAAGAGGTCGGCGATGGAAATCTCAACTTCGTCTATATTGTTTCCAGCCCCTCCGGTTCGCTCGTCGCCAAACAGGTATGACACTCGATTGACACGTTCAAATTCATGTAAAGCTTTGAAGATTGTCAAATTTTGAATTCCTATTGTACACGGATTATTATTCATTTTTCATACATGTGAATTTATTGAAAACTCACTCGTAGCTAGTTGATTCAAGCATTTATACATACATGTGGTGTACGGGAACAATAATTGCAGATAAATGGGGTGTTAGTGAGACAAGTGCTCGGTGCAAGTGAGAACCTAGCTAAAATGATCCAATTATTACTCACACTCACTTGCACTCTATTGATTTGCAATTATTATCCCTGATTTCGCATTTGTTGGATCTTCTCTTTTATTTAAACCGTGCTAGCATGTTCTCAAGGGTTTTGAATGGGTGTGTATTATGATTATGTGAGTGCAATGGAAAATACCAACAATTTGCTGAAAAGAAATAGGTGAAATTACAATTCAGTGGTGTTTTCACAAAACAATTACGAATTCTTGAAAAGTTTAGAACTTTAATTATTAATGTTCATAAATCTTACCATTGATCTGATATTTTTAAAAATCTACACCAAATTGTAATTGTCCCAAAGAAATATGGTGGGAGTTGGAACATGGGAAATGCTGGTTCATTGCCGGAACATCCAAATTTTTTCAGGCATTATTTTCCCATGGATTAGCAGAGGATTTTGATAAAGTTGGGCTTCTTTTAAATTGTTATTAAGAGAAGTATTTTGAGATACTCCTGATATGTTGGAAATTGGAATCCAAACTGATTGAATCCATATAACTGACATGGATGAAATGTAGTAGTAATCTAACTTAATTACGGAAGAAGATTGGGCATAATCACATACTCCTAACATGAATTTTGTTTTATTTAAAAAAAAAAAGTTGAACTTTTTAATTTGCTCACAGTTATTAGGTTCTTTAGAATACAATTCAATCTTCAAGCTCTGGATTCATGCCTTAAAAATGCATCCGATTAGATTGATTGAAAATCCTCATACGTTCAACAGTGTCTAAATGTTGTAATTGAAAGCATTATTTCCATTTTCAAATGTGGTTGTGAGGTGTACATGGTTCACCCCCTTTTAATGTGCTTTTTACTAATATACTTTTACTTATAAAAGTTCTGGTTGTGGGAGTTTGCAGGCTCTCCCATACATACGTTGCATAGGGGAATCATGGCCGATGACAAAGGAGCGCGCTTACTTTGAGGCAGTGACTCTAAAAGAGCATGGTCGTTTGTGCCCTGATCATGTTCCGGAAGTTTATCACTTTGACAGGGTTATGTCTTTGATTGGCATGCGCTATTTGGAACCTCCACATATAATATTGAGGAAAGGGTTGATAGCTGGAATTGAGTACCCGTTGCTTGCAGAACACATATCAGAATATATGGCAAGGACTCTTTTCTTCACATCACTTCTTCACCGTACTACCACGGAGCACAAACGAGCAGGTAACCATTTTGACGGTTATCTCTTTCTTGTTTTAAAATTTTATTAACTTTATTGCAGGAGCTTCTTTATTTTATTTTACTTAATTTTGAATATGACTTGGGCACAAACATGAGGGCAACCACTTTGTGCATTATTTTAAAGGTTGGGTTTGTACTCAATCTATCCTTCCTAGAGTTCATCTAATTGTTTGATGGTGGATGAGTTAAAATCATGATGCTTAATACACTAAGCAATGACGAGAACAAATTGAGTGCTATAAACTAAGAAGTATAGGCACTTGTAAGATGATATCATGTTTTTGGATGATATCATGTTTTTGTGGGATACCGAAACTCGTTAGACATGTCCCAACATGTGTCGAACATGCATCAAAATGCCTATTATTTTATATAAAGTTTTGAAATTGGACTCGCTTTGGTCATTTGGAGGTCCCATGTGTTCATCACTTTTATGCATATAGAACTCATCACAAGTTTAAAGAATACTGGTTTGTTTGAATTCATGAAACTTATGTGTTTACCTGAATGTTTTCTGCAGTTGCTGATTTTTGTGGGAATGTGGAGTTATGCAGGCTCACTGAGCAGGTTGTCTTTTCTGATCCTTACAAAGTGTCTCCTCATAACCGCTGGACTTCTCCCTATCTTGATCGTGATGTGGAGGCAGTTCGTGAGGATAACGCTTTGAAGCTTGAAGTTGCTGAGTTGAAATCCATGTACAGCAGCCATAATAGTAGAACATTTCTTGTGATATTTTGTAACAGTTTTAGTAATTCACTTTTTGTTTTACTTACTTTATGGAAGATGTGAAAAGTTGTCCTCACATTAGCTGATACCAATTGTTTAGGTTTTGCGAAAGGGCCCAAGCCCTTATACATGGTGATCTCCATACTGGTTCTGTGATGGTTACAAGCGATTCAACTCAGGTTATAGATCCAGAATTTGCTTTCTATGGGCCTATGGGGTTTGATATTGGAGCCTTTGTAGGAAATTTAATTTTGGCTTTCTTCGCTCAAGATGGTCATGCAGATCAGGAGAATGACCGAAAAGTATGTCCTACCTGCACATTTGTCTCATACTTATTTAGTTGTTTTCAGGTGTTCTAACCCTTAATGACCTGTTATTTTGCCTCTGTAGTATTTGTCTTTCCTGTATTTCCTCATGTAGTCTTGTCATATTTACTTGAACATGTTGTTTGGTTTTCTGATTTTAATTTGTTGTAAATACGTAATTTGTTTTGTTCACCAGTGACATCATGGTACCAGCTGATGTCCGATTAGCCATGTTGGTAACTCAACTAAAACCTTCTCCCATCTGTTTGGGTCAACTACATGAATATGATGCCTTTCCATTCTGTCATGTCGTGTCGTGTGTAAGGTCATAGTGTTGGTAAACACCATAGCTATCTTTTGACAATTATTCTTATGGCAGTTTCAATACCATCAATTAATGGGTACTTTCCAGCGTCTGATTGAAATTTCTCAAGATTTATGTTCCTGTTTTTTGATTGCTTCAATTGTTCACGTTTACTTTGGGGTTTATACTTTGTGAAATCTAGTTCTGTCCAAAGAGAAATGCATAGTATGCTTTAAGCATGCATTGTGTATGTAGTTGGGTTCTTATCTATATGCTTTTGTCTCTGTAAAAGATGTCATTTTCTTGTTTTTTCTTATTCGTCATTTGATTCATCTTATTATCATACTTTCCTTTTTGGACAAACAATGATTTGGTTTGGGGCTTCTCTTGTTCATCAAGTGTAATAGATCTGGAACTTTGCATTGCCCTCTGGGCTGTCACTGCACTTTTTTTGTTTTTGTTTTTGTTTTTGTTTCTTTATGATTTCTTGAATGGAGAAACCTGATCAGCCCGACTTCCCCCAAGTTCCTAATCATTGACCCATCTCCTTTTTGGTTAATGGGGAATAAAGAAATGAATGAATTTTCTTTTCAAAAAAATATAGAAAATACACCTATCGAAGCAAAGGTGACTGATGAGTCTAGTAGGTGGATGTGACTAACTTGTCTACCTAGCTTCTTGTATTTGAAGAAATTTGCCTGTCTACCCTGTTCATACTACTCTTTTTGTACCATGTTGGAAAAATTCCAGGTAAGAGATGCATTTCCTCAAGTACGAAAAAGTTCAATCTGCTTCATGCGGCATTTTTCCTTATATTCCTTGATCACTCAATAGTCAATCAGATCCAGATGTTTTGTTTGGATGTTGTCATTATGTAGTCACATGTTTAGTAATTCTTAAACCTTTTCTTTTGTGTTGCACATTAATATTCAGAAATTCCGTAATTATCTTTTGATTTCTTCTTGTCCACAAATAACTCTCATGTACCTTCTGTCGGTGTTTCATCCTTTTTCCCTGCTGGTGCTTTTTTGTGTGTTAGCCAGGTGAAGGTTTTCTTGACTAAAAATAGATTAGTAATAAGGTATTAAGGAACTACTAAAACCACTATTCCCGTTTTTGGGTTATTCCCGTTTTTGGGTTATAAGACTCTTAACTTCCAATGAGCTACGTGCATAAGCTTTTTTTACTACAAAAACGATTCCTCTCCCAGCAAAAAGTGGTCCGTCAACTGAACTTGCCTTGTTGTGATAGGGGTACCGCTTTTTCATTCCCACCAAGGAGCCGTAGCTCTACTTAGATAGGGCTTGACTGCCTTACCTTCTATTATATTTTAGTAAAGAGCGATATTTATAAAAAAAAAAAATTTTTTTTAGTAAAGAGCGTTTAGGCTTTACTAATGTAATAGAAAGTAAAGGGGCCTGTATTCACTTTTTTGTAAAGAAAGAGGGCTACTTCATGAGCTGCTACTAATAATAAAAAAGGTTCACAGCTCTCCGGAAAGAAAAGAAGCCAGCAGGTCCTTTTCTGTCTGACTGCTAACTCATGAGCAAAGCCGTCTCAACTCCATTCCCTCTCCGGATCAAGGCAACAACTCATTTTTTTTCTAACCTCATATGTGGTGCACATCGGACGGCAGCCCTGGTTGTAGACCAAAGAAGTCTTCATGGAGCATCGGATATCTCTCTTACCAATGACTCTCCTTTGAAGTCGATTATTGGCCCCCGGCTATCCCGTCAATAGCCCTGTATATAAGATCTACTAGATGTAAAACATTGTAAGAAGCCAATTATATCAGCTTAGCAGCAAAGCTGCATCCCAACTTACCTGAATAGAGCACCAACTACTGGAGATGTTTCAGTGGTGTGCATCTACTTTTGATTTGATGCACCAGTTTAAAAAAACTAGTTTTAGGAGTGCATTTAGAAAAAAAGGTGATACTATAGAGTTGACTGTTGAGTGCTTAAGTTGGAAATGGCATGACTGCTGTACGGAGTATGTTCACATGTCCTGAAATGAAGTATTCTCGGCTTTAATGACCAATGGAATATGACCTAAGATAAGATGCAGGACTTGTATGATTAAACATTTTGCAGAAAGAGGAAGTATGGGGGATGTTTGGGAAGAAGCTTTTTTAGTTTTTTTTGGCTAAAATAGCACCAAAAGACAAAATAGACTAAAATGGCCAATAAGACAAAATGTCACATCAAACCCATAATTATTTCACTTTTTCTCTCACAAACATCATATCTAACTACAAAAAAATCCAACTATCTTCCTAAACACAAAAATTTTAGCCTCCTAAAATAGCCAAAAACTAAAGTAGCCTACTAAAATAGCAACTTCCCAAACACTCACTATATCATTTTGTTGATTTTTTAGTAGATCACTTTTGCTTAAAGATACCTCGTTTAGGTAATTTCTTGTCAAGAAGTCACTGCTCATTTGTTTTTGCTGTACAATGGAAAAGGATAACTTGCAATCCTTGTATGGTTTTTCCTTTTATTTTTCTCATTGAGAAACTGTGTCAGTGGTCTGTGTATATGCAAGTGTGCTTGCATGCTTTTATAGGTGTTTCACCATATTAAACTTAACATTGATATTAATACTTTATTTCATTGCTATAAATGGTTACTCCACTATTGTGCCTTGTGTTTAAAGGCATGTTGCTCTGCAGGCATATAAAGATTGGATCTTGAGGACAATTGAGGAGACTTGGAATTTATTCCACAAAAAATTTACTGCTTTGTGGGACAAACACAAGGATGGCTCTGGTGAGGCTTATCTTCCAACAATTTATAACAACCCTCAACTTCAGCTGCTGGTAAAACAGAAATTCATGAAAGATTTGTTCCATGACACTCTTGGTTTTGGTGCTGCCAAAATGATAAGGTGAGATAGTGATTTCCTGCTCTGCTTACTAGAATTTCTGTACCCTCTTTCTTTATCCCTGCTATTCCTGGGTATTTTTTTTTTTTTTTTTTCATTTGCCAAAATTCCTTTGTGATGCACCATTTCCTATTTGCATGGACCAGGTTTTAAAGATTTGTAACAAACCTTGATCATAGGAATGCTAAGAAAATAGAAGTTGTAATTTTCCATGTGATCATCCATTTTATTTCTATGATTTCATTAACATCTGTTTACTGGTGTTCGTTTTGTTCACTCATACATATGTATGGTGGACTTGGTTATATTTGTTGAATAAAATTCTCGAAGTGTGTAGAATGTCTGCATTTGAAACTTATTTTAGTGACCTTAAGATTACTCATTCACTTCTAAGCACCTCCTTTTATGGATGCAACAGCCAACAGTGTTTCTTTGCTTGTATTAAATGTGCATTGTTACTTAAGGTGTCTCTTGTTCATAAAATTTTCATCTTAACATCCTATGTAGTTTTTATTTCTTTCTTGGAAATCTGTTTTATTTCTTGCATGTTGGCTTAGTTTTTAATGGATGTAAAAGTTAAAGTTGATGATATACCATTTTTGTCATTATAATGCAGTCACCAAAAGACATATTTTGGGATACAAGCGGAATTCTGATTCCCTTTCAAAGTGGAATTTAGTGAAGGGTCCTGCTAATGACCACCACCCAATGGGTGTTTGTTAATAATCAAATGATGTAAATTTCAATAAACATTTTACATATTCTTATGCACTTTTTGTATATTTCTATACACTTCTCACATATTTTAATACACTTTTTATCCATATTAACTATGGGCAGTGGTTAGCCAAACCAAACCAAACCTTAAGTTCCATCAAATGGGGTTGGTTACATGAATCCATCTTCTCCACGGGCGGTTGTTAGCATTTTCCTTTAATGAAATAGCTGATGTTCACAATTTAGTTTTTTAGAAATGAGTTTTGGTAAAAGTTGTTTCAACTAATATGTCAAAATGTTCTCCAAATATACCTTTTGGGTGACATATTAGTGGTGGTGGAAAGGAACATGATTGTGGAGGTGCAACAATAGTTGGAATAGAAGCAGCAACAACAGTGGTCGAATAGGGGAGAGAGAGGGAAAAAGAAAAGGAGAGAGGGAGGGCTGTGTAGTCTCTAGTGGTGGTGGTGGGTGTGACCGGGAAAAATTCTAGACCTGAGTGGTGATTGTTTGGCTACAAAGAGGGAGGAAATCAGAAATTGATTTATGCTTGTTCAGCTACAAACGTAGTGTCGTGTAAATTTGATTTTGAAAGGACAAAAAGGTTAATTGTACATCTGCAGTTAACTGCTTGACGACTCTGACATGAGAGGACATCGTAATTTTAGAAACCACAAGGGAGGTCGGTCCCTACAATTGTTAAAAACCTCAGGAAGTCCTTGGAATTATTTCTTCCATATTTAGTTTATGATTGATTATCTTTTAATTCCTTTTATGTATTTACAAGGAATACATTAGTAAATTCTGATTCTGGAATTATGGATCAAAATTTTTATGATGTTTTTCCTCTTGATGACAGGAGAATTGTCGGGGTAGCTCATGTTGAGGATTTTGAATCAATCACTAATGCCGGTAAAAGAGCAGATTGTGAGCGGCGAGCCCTTGACTTTGCTAAGATGCTTATGAAGGAAAGGAGAAAATTTCAGGGCATCACTGAAGTTGTTTCTGCCATTCATAAACTCCATTCTTGACAAAGTACTTGGTAATATTGCTGATTTGCTACAAATTTTGTCATGTACCTGATGAGGTGTTAATGCATTTTTATTTGTCGCACGCTGCCAACTTGATATATTGCAACTGTAAGAATTTATGTATTATTGATTGATATAATGTTATATCTATTACAATGTTTCATGATTCCTATATATAGAAGAGGGTGAGTGTGTAGTAGCTAAGGAGTAGGTGAAGTGGAGGTGGTAGTGGTGTAGTGGGTTAGGTTTAGTGGAGTAGGTGAGGTGGTAGTGGTGTAGTGGGTTAGGTTTAGTGGAGTAGGTTTAAGTGGGTGAAGTAGGTGATAGTGGTAGGTTTTGGTACATTTTTAACAGCCCCCCGCAAACTCAAGGGGAATAGGAACTAACCAACTTGAGTTTGGCATGAAGGAGCTAACCGTAATCAATGTCGGGACAGTTTACAGAGTCTTGTCGGACCCTTAAAGGAGCTAACCGGAATCAATGTATTTATTTAAGCAAATAATAATATCTAAAAAATAGAAAAAAAGAAAAGAGGAAAAAAAAAAGATTTTTTTGTTCAAATATATATATCTATATTAGTATATAAATATATATGTATATATATTAGTATATAATATATATTTATATATATTATCAGAAAAAGAAAATAGAAAAAAAAAAAGAAGACAGAGAGAGAGGGATCAACATCACTCACTATATAAAGGAAAAATAAAAAATAAAAGAACAAATAAAATCAGAGAGAGAGAGAGGGAGAAGGAGAGAGAGAGACAGCGACTGAGAGAGATCGGAGAAAAAGAAGGACGAAGAAGAATATCGAAGAACGAAGAAGAAGAAGAATGGAGAAGAGCAATGTACCTCAACGAGTGACGACGAGACGAGCTACGAGGACTGACGACCGACGAGGATCGACGACGAGTGATGAGTGACGAGCGACAAGCTACGATGAGCGACGAGCGACCATTGAAAAGTGACCAGGTCCTCTTTCTCTCCCTTTCTCTTCTGTTCGCCCTTTCTCTTCTGTTCTAATCGAATTAGGCAGATATTGCTCAATTTTTGTTTTTTACAAATCGACCCCAAATTTTTTTTTATAAATTATGAAATTACCCCCGAACGTGTCCCCAAAGTGTCCAAACGTGTCCACAATGTGTCCGCATGTAAAAAAAATAAATAAATAAAAAAATGGGACACTCTTTGCTGCGTGTCGGACATGTGTCCACCGCGTGTCTGATGCGTATCCGTGTCCGACACTGGTACGGAGCCCTCGAAGAGGTGTCCGTGCTTCATAGCATGCAAGTAATGAGCTTATTATTTCCATAATGCTTGGTCTGTCAAATGCCCAAGGGATTCTGCTTTGGCTTCTTGGATTTGAAAATAAATAAATAAAAATTTGGATGTTTATAGCTTGTATGATATCATGTCTATAAATATGTAGAGAAAGAGAGAACGCATGCTAATAGAACATATGATCTCTTTTACTGTAAGTTGCGGTGATGGATGAAATAATTTAGCACAACAAATTGGACCTGTTAGCAACGGGAAGGGATGATGCTTTGGGAGTGTCAATGTATAGAGGGCTCTGCCTAACCTTTTTTTTTTTTTTTTCTTTCAGTCACTCCACAGAGACAATTCAGATATGTTTAGGCGATCACTCAATCCATAGGTTGTATCCAAAGTCACTGTAACAACCGCCTCCTCGATTAATTAAATTAATCATATGATCTGCCTTGATTATGTGCTTATATGTTGTTTATGTGCAATGTGTGTGTTAGGTATGTGCCATGTATTATTTGAATCGTGTGTTGATTAACAGATATGATAGAATAGGAATTAGACCTGTCGGAATCGTTAAATCTGGAGGTTGAATTAAATATGTGGATAGGAAATTAGAGCCTAATTCATCTTAGCATGATTAAATTTGTTTTACGTTAAATTAGGTTATAGTGAGAATTGATTTAAGTGAGTTTGACTTAATTAAATTCAAGCTCATAATTAATTATTGAAGATTAGGGAATTAGTGATTAATGAATTCCTTTAACCTACTCAACAAATAGGAAAGATGAGTTAGTGGGTTTGGTAGAGAGAGAGAGATATATAGCTGGAGAGAGAGTTCTAGAAAGAGGGAGAGGAGGAAGAGTTCAAGGAAGAGAGAAGAGAACAAGGAGGAAGAGAGAGGTTCGTCTTCAAATTCAACAAGTGAGGTAGAAATTCTTCTCTAAATTCTTGAAATTGAGATGTTACACTCATAAATTTATGGGATCTAAGTTTAATTAAGGAGAAATCAAGCTTAATTAGTAGTTTTATGGAGTAGAATTTATGAGTGAGCAAGATATTGAAGGAATGGTAAGAATTGGTTTAAGATCATGGCACGCCTAACATATTTTCATGAGATTCATGTTTTCTTGCATGATATTTGTGAGTATTAGGAGGAAATCCCTTGGATTTTGAGATTGGAACTCAACATATGCATAGTTCATGATTTTTGCCATTAATAGAGGTTTTGATCTTTTAATGGAAACTTAAGTTTTGTTTTGAAGTCATGGTTTTAGTTTGAAGTTAGAAATTGTTCATTCACCATGTTTTAAGGGGTTTTGGGCCTTGATTTATAAAAAAATGGAGTTGGATTTTGGAAAGGTTGGATTTCACACAATAGCAGATTTTCGATTCTGGAAAACCTAGATCTGCACGTGCGGTGGGGAGGTCCGCATGTGCGGAAAACAGGGCAAATTCTGGCTTCAGCATTGCTTTAATTGCACATGCGAAAGCAGGTGCAGTGGAGGTTCTGCACGTGCAGCCAGGTCCCTCGCATGTGCGGTGTGCAGAGCCCTGAAAATTGCACCTTCTGCTTTAATTGCATCTAAGGAGGCAAGTGCGGTAGAGGTCCCACATGTGCGGCTGTCAGAGCAGATTTTCAATTTCGTTTTCTTTTCGTTTTTCGACCTTCAGGGCCTCCATTTGCATGGTTTTCACGTGTATTTCACATGCATATGCATTTCATGAATTCAAAAAGGAATTAGAGAACGATTCAAGCAAATTGAATGAACAAGTAGTGAATGAATAAACAAGCAACACATGAACCGATTGAACGAAATGATTGTGAATTGACACATGAACCGACTGAACGAAATGATTGTGAATTGAGCATGTTATGTTTGCATGTGTCTTTGTAGGTTAGACGCTGCGTCCTAGCCATGTGATTCAGGAAGCCAACTGTGAGTAACAACGTTGTAAAGCTATGTTCAAGTTATATTTATTTTGAATGATACTAAATTTTGCTTTTGAAATGGCATTGTTTTCTGAATGAATGAGTGTCCTGTTTTATAAACTGTAGTCGTGGCATCCTTAGCATCTGTTATAGCTACTGTTACAAAGATTTCTGCCAGTTCCAAATCTTGAAACTTTTGTTTACTGTATTGATGGCATGGCCATCAATTCTGATTGTTCGATTTTTATGACCTACTGTACTGTTCTGTTGTTGGATGTACTACGTACGACTGTTATGGTTTCTATATGAGATGAGTATATGCTTCTGATTTAATAATTGAATTGCTACTGAAATGGATTGATTTTACTTACAGTAAGGACATCATTCATAACCTTTTTACATAGTCATTCACTGGGTTTTAACTCATTGTTTTATATATGTATGTAGGTGATCAAGGACAGGATGGGACTTAGTGGCGTCGACCTAGTCTCTGCCTTTTTGTTAAGCCAACCTTTATGCCTCACTGTGAGGTTTCAACCGGTCAAGCTTCGAAGCTTAATGGGTGGTGTAAAATTCACCCTTTTGTATGGTGAACTAGTGCTATATGTGATTTGAATGTTGACAAGATTGGTTTTGTTTGTCTGATTAACTCCCTGAGTTTTGGTTATGTTTTTGTGACTGTAATGGTTTGATACGTATATTTATGTATATATGTATGTAAGTTCATTCTGTCCCATTTAAGTCTTCAGAACTTATTGGACGTTTTATTTGATTAATTATTGGCTTCTGCCAGTCCCTACTACTATATTACTGTTCAATAGGCCTTTGGTAATCTCGGATTACTAGCCGGTTACGATGCTAAACTTATAAAGATGGGTTTGAATTGTGACAGTCACTCTCTCGCAATGTAGGATCGACACATGTGACAGGGAGGGTTATGCATGGACTTAACAATCTCCTATGTTTGTTGGCTCCTAGTAGTTTCTCCAGAACTGATTAACTGTCTTTTCCAGTAGCTCAACGAAATAGTTGTTATTACTGCTTCTAATCTTTCTCTTAAGTTCTGCAACAAACCCATTTCTCATCCCATTACAATAGTTTAAAAAAGGAGCTAGTGGAAAATATTGTTCCTAGAAGAGACAACAAGAAATTCCAGCGAGAAGTGGTTGTGAAGTGTTTGTTTTCTTGTATGAGTGGAGGTGGTGTCATATATCTATTGTTAATTTGTTATATAAAGGGTTAGTCTAGAAGTGTGGTATTTTATTTAGAAAAGAAAAGGAAAATAAATGAACTAGGAGCTTATCAGCTGGTATGAGGTAGTAGAGTACTGAACACTTACAATAAATAAAGTTGAAGTTTAGCAAGCAATTCTAAATGGATTGGAAATTTTGTTTGTTTGTTAGTTAGTTGGCATATGAATTCATGCCTTGTACTCTGCTGTAGCGTAGGACAGAACAACACATTCTTTATATCCTGAATCTTGACTAGAACGCAGGGGAGGGACTACATATGTTCAATTTGTTAACAATATTCCAAATGCCGTCCTAGTAAGCAACAAACAATATGATACAACGATTATGTAACATATTTGGCTGAACTCATAAACTGTAACATATTTGGCTGAACTCATAAACAATACACAAGAAATGGATCCTAGTTGTTGAATATTTCCTTGTCAAGCTTACATATAAATTTAATAACAAGTTGGTTCAACTTTAAGAACATTGATATGTAACATATTTGGCTGAACTCATAAACTGTAACATATTTGGCTGAACTCATAAACAATACACAAGAAATGGATCCTAGTTGTTGAATATTATTCCTTGTCAAGCTTACATATAAATTTAATAACAAGTTGGTTCAACTTTAAGAACATTGATAAATGCTGTGAAACCACTTTGCACACCATTATCGGACCTTTAGGCCTTGCATTGACTAGGCTGCATATTTCTGTTTGAACTAGAGGCGGTTTGTTCAGCCATGAGTAAAACCATAAAAATGAAAATAATATGATTTTTTTAATGTTTAAAAAAGTATGATCATCCAAATGTATGTTTAATGAAGCTAGGTTTATGAAATTTTTGAAAAACATAAGAATATCTCTCATCTTTTGATATTTGATTTCGTTTGATTGAGACAGAATGTTGGAAGTGAGCATGCCGGCCTCTTGACAATGACGTACATGCAAGGGCATGGATACAAACACAAATAGTCTACTCTGTTTTAGACATGGATACAAACACACACAGTCTCCTCTGTTTTGGTTAAGTCCTGAATTAGGAAAACAGAAATTGACCTAAGTTTGTAGCCAAATAAATGTACCATCTTAGCAAATATTGAAATAATTATAATCTCTTGAACTCAGTGAGGATGGTTTTGATGCATCATCATAGGTTTCCCATTTCAAAAGACAATATGTATACAGGTTCCCCTTGTTGAAATTGTATTTATAGAAGTTGCTATTAGATAACTACAAGTCTATAATTGTTTGATCTAATCTGTAATTTTAGAAACAAATAAAATCGTGGTGGGTGTAATATCCATAACCTAATTAATTACAAAAATTGATGCTGAGATATTGGAATTTAATTTATATATTTTAAATGTAAATATTGCTGGTGTGTCTTGAAAATTTGCTCAAATGAGGTAAATGGTGGAGGATTTTTTTATTTTTTGTACTACTTTTGATTAATCAGAGACTTCTATTCAATACTTCAATTTTAACGTATGACTTTGCATCATAGCCGTTGGTCATGTAGGATCCTTTTTGCATCAAGGTCTAGTTATCTGAAACCATGAAGTTGAAGTTTCCTGTCTTAGCTGTTGGAAATGAATTGAACTCACATTTTTCATTAGATTTATTTATTTATCTATTATTATTATTATTATTTTAATTAACTTTTAACTATAGACTCTGATACTGGCAGAAATCATGAATGATGCTTTGTCTCTCCATTACTGAGTTTTGGTTTTGTCTTCCTTTTCTTGTACAACTCACAGTTTGGTAGAATAATCTGGATGATATTCTACTCTTTATTCAAGCAATTTGTTTAGGACTTTTCTTAGGTGTGCCTTGCGTATGGTATGCAAGGCACTTACACCTTTCTATTTTTACCCTCACACCTTTTATGTATTGAGTTATACAAAAATATTTGAAAACAAGCACATTGGTGACCTGCTAAGCAAGTCACTTTCCAGGTAAATGAATAAAAGAATATATTATACTACTAAAAGTGTAAATTGTCACAAAAGATGTAAATAATTTCACAAAATGTGTAAATTATCACAGAAGGCGTAAAATTTAACAAAAAGAATAAGTAATTTCAGAAAAAGGCGTAAGTGATTTTTGAAAATTTACACCATTTGTGAGAACTTACGCCTTTTGTGAAAACTTACACCTTTTGTGGGAACTTACACTTTTTTGTGAAAGTACTTACACTTTTCTGACAACTTACATCTTTTGTAAAATTGCTTACCAAAAGTGTAACTTTTGACAACTTACACATAATACTTACATCTTTTGTAAAACAAGTTATACATTTTCTGAAAGTTACACCATATGTGAAAAAGTTATACCTTTTGTGAAAGTTACACCATATGTGACAACTTACACATAATACTTACATCTTTTGTAAAACAAGTTATACCTTTTGTGAAAGTTACACCATATGTGAAAAATTTTATTTCATAAAATTTTGACAACTTACACATAATACTTACATCTTTTGTAAAACAAGTTATACCTTTTATGAAATAATTTTTAGAAAAGTTACACTGTTTTTGAAAAAAATTATGACACAAAAGGAGTAACTTTTCAGAAAGGTTCCATGAAAATGTGTAAATTTTCAGAAAAAGTGTAAGTTTTAAGAAAATGTATAAATTTTATGAAAGAAATTATTTCACAAAAAACGTAACTTTTCAGAATTAGTGTAAGTTATTTCACAAAAGATGTAAGTAAGTTCACAAAAAGTGTAAGTTTCATTTTTACAAAAGGAATAACTCTCTAGAAAATTATTCCTTTTATGAACATACACCTTTTTTGAAAAAAGGTGTAACTATTTCCACAAAAATGTGTACATTTTCAGAAAAAGTTTAAGTTTTAGCAAAATGTATAAATTTTATGAAAGAAATTATTTCACAAAAGGGATAATTTTTTAAAAATTGTGTAAGTTATTTCACAATAGATATAAGTAGCTTATGTTTTGTTTTCAGTGTAAGTTCCACTAAAAGTGTAAATTTTATAAAAAATTTATTTCAGAGAAGGAGTAATTTTCAAAAAATCTGTCGATCTTGGTCTCTCTGTCTCTTCTCTGTCGATCTCCGTCTCTCTCTCTGTCGATCTCCGTCTCTCTTTCTCTGCTGATCTCTCTTTGTCGATCGCCCTCCCAAACGCTTCGTCTCTCTCCGGAATTCAAGAGAGAGAAACACCAAGCCCTCCCAAACGCCTCTTCTCTCATACATTGCCATTATTTGAACAACAACACAAATACAGTTTGATTCGATTGTAGGAGCTCTTCGCAATTTTCGTTCCCCTCTCTCTACCCGAAAACATCAACAGATCTGGACTTAGGTAACTTCTTGGCTCCAATTCGAACAGGTTTGATATATTCTTCTCTCTTTTAGATCTGGGTTTGCTTCAATTCCGAATTGTGGTGATTAATCGATTGTTTCAGATCTGGGTTTGATTCGTTCTTGGGTTTTTGGGTCTCAATTTTGTTGTTTTAACACAGGTTGAGCTCAGATTTAGCTATATTAATCATTTCTGTGATCATTTTCATTCATTGATCGTCTCATTTTTTTGTTTGATATGTTAATATGGGAATTAGATTTGTAAAATAGGACTTGGAATTGATTTTCCCCTTGACAAATAGGACTTGGAATTGATTTTCAAGATATTTTTCTACCTCAGCAGTTTCAATATTACAAGTCATTGATCTGCTCTTTGTTTTGTCCTTCTGTTTCTTAGATAAAAAGGTGATTGTAGAACTTATGGTATTAGCTCATTGGATCTGCTAAATATATAGCATTAACGAAGAATCTTTTTCATGTTGTGTTTGGAAGCTCCAGTTGTTATGAAGTGATGTTCCTATAATCTAGATATCTAGTGTGATATTTGAATTTTGATTTGATGATTCGTCCTGTTCAGGGAGCTAAAATTGCAGATCAACATGTATGCATATCATGCTGGGGGACATATATTGATGAATCAGATCCTTGGAATAACCCGTCATGGAAGCTTGGAGATGAAAATAGCTCAACGGTATGAACCTTCTCTTTCCCCTATTGGTAGGTAAAGTCATGAGTTGTCATGAATTGTTTAGTCTTGCTTAAAAGAGTTCCATTAAAGAGGTAAAGCAAGTATCTTTTGGCCATCTTTTACAACATAGTGAACAAACATTCAATATTTGGGAATCACCGGATATTATGAAGTTTGGAAATTATTCCGCAAATAGTAGCTTGTAGAAGTAGCTAGCATAACTCTTATATCACTAAGTAAAAAGAGGTTATTTTTTAATTATTGAGCTATGTTACATGGACCATACGAGTATTGCGTACAACCAGTGTTGCAGCTGATTTGGGTAGTCACGGTGTTAAAAGTGAATGTTTTTGGTCAAGAAAACCCATTTTCTGGTAATGATTATTGACTTCTTTAAATTGTTCATATTAGATAGATTCACATATAAATCAGGAGAGTTTTGTTGTATATCAACTGAGTATTTTGTTTGATAATGAGTTACTAATTGCGCTTGATGTGATATGATCACGTGGGTTCATTTGCAGCACTAGAAGAAGCAATCC